CCGAAGGTCGAATACCGGTCTTGGACCGCCAAGATTCTTTACCAACGTTGATGGTCCGGCGTGAAGAGATGAAAACTGACGTCGCATAGAGATATTTAATGGAATATTATGAACTCCATAAAGATGCAAGGCATCTTTTTTCAATTTGCGAATAGATCTGGTTACTATGCTGTGCGAGTTCTGGAGTTCAGCGATATGCCACTGGTGCGCCCCTCTCCATGCAATCTCGTGAGAAATCACAGCTCCTACCCCATAGGGTGAAGCAAAATCGGTCGCGAATAGGACTTGCTGGCTTTCGTATCATACGGTCACTAAACGGCGTTAGGCTTTCTAAAAGCGGGCAGTTTTGCTCCCCTTGAAAGCTTCAGCACAACTACATGCATATATTGATTATTATACTCGTACTGTATACACTGAGTTTCTTACGATACAAGTACTAAATGCACATTACACGTGAAGTAACATTGTTACTATTATCAAGTGCATAAATTCTACGTATGCATAAAGTCCTGTCATAATTTCCACTACGCTAAAACATTTACTATTGACTATTGTCAGCTTTGCTTTTCTTTAGTCAGGCCTACTGTAGTACTGAGGCTACTCTCTTTAGTAAATTAGTCAGTGCTGTAGAATGGGAAATCTGACAGTTGCATAATCTGTTGGAAAAAACTTGGCTAGGCCTATTTAGCTTGTACCGAAAGCAAAAACATTTCATTATGTACACCTAGTTAGGCTCATCTTAGGCTAGTACCTACAATGAAATACTTAGCCCGACCAGGCTGTGCGATGGATTGTCTATACGGATTGGTCTTCTAACCCTAGCAATAGGCCTACCGTTTCTTGGAGCTATGAAATACTGAGCTAAACTCGCCATTCAGCAACACTTCCATTCAGCAGTCTTCCTTCTTGTTCGACGTTGCCTTGAACATTGGCAACGAACTTGAACAAGGCATCGAACGTTGCCTTGACACGGTTGCTTTGAACGATGCCTGGGTAATCGTTGGCCAACGGTTCAAACATGTACGCGGCTGAATACAACTCTCTTCAACATGTTCAACTTCATTGTCTGTCTACTTTATTTTCATCTTCATCAATGCTGATTGACTGCTCATCCGTATCGTACGAAACTGATATTAGTCTAAAGACGACTCTGAATCGGTGTTCACATTGTACATTGTACAGGCTCCATTGTACACGCTTGGTAGCATGTAAACAAGCGAGAGTGCCTGCTCCCACGTCACACTACGTCACGCGCCAAAGTAGGTGGCGCTTTTGCGTTCCCGCAAATTCTTAACATTGTGTCCATCAAAAAATGCGTTTTTCTCAGGGGCGTGTACAGGGGGGGGTGTCCAGGGGGTCCGGACTTCCCCTCCCCTGCTAGCGCAGAAAACGCATCTGAGGGCGTCTAATTTTAAAAATTCTAAATTCAAGAAACCCCCTTCGCGTGCTCGCAAGTTTAGGTTACGGTTAGACCCTCCCCCCCCCTGCTACAAATCCTGTACACGCCCCTGTTTCTCATCCACCCGAAAACCATTCAACCTGTAAATTTCTTAGTAGATGTACATAACATAGTTAATTTGATATATGTAACTATTTTTCATCACTAAAGGAGGCCTTTAAGCATTCTATCTTCTATCTTTAAGTATTCTATTTTCCCATTGATTTTTCTAGAACGTTAAAGCCTCACAATGCGCATCCAAACGCTAATTTTTACAGTACTAGACTAGCTAATACTTCGTGGCATGAATAATCACACTACCTTATGACAAAATAAACTCTAGTGCTTCCCATTTCACTGCGCGTTGTCTTATAAAAGGTATTTGAAAATATCTCCACTGTTGTTCAAATTCTCCGATGTTGTTGACACGTTTGCGTTGCTCTGCCAGGCAACCGTCCAGCGGGTGTAGCAAAGATTTCTACGGCCCGTGTGCGTTTTTCGCTTGCACGCTGCTAGCGCAATTTTCGCGCTGTTAGCGATATCAAGTCTTAAATCAATACGTTATT